TGAGATATTTTGATAGAGCTAAAGAGTAAATGCTTGTTTTTAGGAGGGTTGACAACTTATAAATAATTGAGTATACTAATTGTGATCTTGTTGGATGTGTTGAGGATAGAAAATCTGCTTCTGGTTACATTTTTATGTTGGTTAGAGGTGCAATATCTTGGAAGAGTAAAAGTCAAACTCTTGTTGGCTCTTCTACCATGCAAGAAGAGTTGGTTGCTTGTTATGCTGATGTCACTCATGTTGTTTGGTTGCGAAATTTAGTAACTGGACTTCGTATTGTTGATTCCATTGTTAAGCCACTAAAGCTTCACTATGATAACAGTGCAACTGTATTATACTTTAAGAATAATAAAAACTCTAACGATTCTAAGCATTTGGAATTGAAGTATTTGACAGTCAGAGATCTTATAAATAAAAATGACATTGTTGTTGAGTACATTGGTACTGATTTCATGCTAGTTGTTTCCCTAACTAAGGGACTTAGGCCCATTGTGTTCAAAAACCATTTTGAGAGCATGGGCATTGTGATTTCTTTTTATGTACTTAGTTAGTGGGAGTTTGTTCTGTATGCGATTTTCTTATCATGTTGTATTTTATTTTGGACACTTTAAGTGTTGAATTGTCAAGTACTTTCTATTTTGAGCAATTGATATTACAATGATATTGTTATTATTATTTGCCATTTTTTATTTATATGTCAATTGTTAAAGTTGGAACTCAGTGTCATTGAGACCACCGTGCCTATGATCGACACTAGTTTGGAGTTCGAGGTATGGTTATAATTTTGAGTTCGGCATCTTTGGGACCACTACATCGATGGTCGATGTCATATTGGAGCTGAGGTATGATTATAAGCTTGGCGTTCTCGGGAGCAATGTGCCGGTGGTCGACGCCATATTGGAGCTGAGGCATTATGGTTTGTAAAACTATGCAATTTCTTTGCCTTTAATGCATTTGAGAGAAATTGTTAAGGACTGGCAAAGAAAATAGCAGTTGGTTATTGAATCACATTGACATGCTATTTTCTTGCCACATTCCACACTGATGACTAGTTAACGAAGTCCGTAGTATTTGTAACCACATAAGGTTTATGTCAATGAAGGATATAATAATCATCGTGATTCAATACTGGTTGACTCTTGTTGGATCGAGCCATATTCAGACAATGCACTTGGAATCATGCATTTTTTCAAAATGCGACCGCATTTTAAAAAATTAGTCATTAAGCCGAGAGTCTTTTTCAAAATGTGTTTTAAAAATTAAAATCACAGAATTGATTTTGCCTAAGTGGGAGAATGTTAGATTTATCTAACACTTCGTGGGCTACAATCAATTGTTGTTTATTTTGTGAAAAACAAGTTAATCGTGATTTTGATGGGGTGCATAAATAAGTCCTTTTATTGGTTAAGTGATCTTTTTAATCAAAGGTTGGGTATCTGAAACCTGATTGGTGTGGGCAAAAGTGTGGGCTTTAACCCTTGGTCCATAATGGGTAGGGACTAAGGTTATGTATATTATATGGCTAGGTTCCCTCTGTAATCACAAGAATCAGGAATATATCTGATGGCTCCACAACTTGCCCTATTGATAGTTGTGAACGGGAGTGTGAGATACAAAGGAATATCTGGTCATTCATCTTTTCAAAAATATGAATCATGACTTTAACAAGTAAGTATTTATGTTCTAATTTCATATAATTGATCGATAAATTTTTCCGCTTACAAAAACATCATAAGAAATTAAAATACAACATAGTAAAAGTGACCTTTCATCCAGCATTGTAGTATTAATATAATAACTAACTTAATATAACGTTGAACAAAAGAATTTGCTCTAAAATCCTTCCTCAGAATTTTGTATTAAATGTTATTATCAATTTTTTTAAGCAAGAAATGTCAATAATGGATTATAAGGGTACTGGAACCCTGATTATCAAAATAACTGAACTTCACAAAAGTCGTAAAAATTAAAGTTGGACTTACACATTTCTTTTTAAAAAGACCATCTCCGACTTAAGGACTTAATTGTGCACATTACAAAGTTGACCTTAAAAAAGAAAAAGAATAGCATTTCTATCATTTCAAATTCCCCATACAACACAGCCCCCAAATCAATCTAGTTTGTTCTTCATCACCTTCTTCACAAAATTAGAACAAACCCCGCAAGTAGCTATCTAGAATGTCATTCCCTTCTATCACAACAAAACCAACCCACCTATTAATCACATAACTCATCACCTATATTTTCATTAGCTTGTTACCCAGTTCTATCATTGAACTAATTTTTTCTATTTATTCCATCTTATAACAATCAACTGGTCAATTAATTAACCTTCATATTTAACACCAACTATACATATCTAACTTTATTTTGTCTAAATATTTTTTTCTCACGCAAAGCCATATTAATTAGTTCATTTTCTCATTTCAAGAAAATAATATTGCTATATATTGGAGTTATATGAAGCCAATTTTATTTCATGCAAAACAATATCATAAATAAGAAAAAAAAATACTATGGCAAAAACGAGTGCTTCAGTTGTTCTAGTTATTCTTGTTGTGGCATTATTTCTGAATGGCTATAATGCTGCTGAGAGTGTAGAAAAAGGTGATGGTCATGATTTCAAGCATAAGCATTTTAACTATTTTAAATGCTTGAAATTGTATAAGCTGTGTTATTATGTTGATCATAAGTTTTGTTATGAGTACTTTCAGAAATGTAATGAACATCAAAATGCTGGGAGCAAGATTCCATGATCAGAGATTGTGGCCATGGTTTGTGTCTTATAATTATTAAATAAGTTTGAGTGTGTGAAAATATTATTGTAGTATGTACTAAATAAATAATTTTCATTTATGTGTTTTGTATAATTGTATTATTTCCTCCGTTTCATATTATAAGTAAATTTTATATTTTTAGATTTATTGAATAATTAATATATCTGATCTATATATAAATCAGATACATTAATTATTCAATGAATCTAAAAAATAAAATTTGTTTATAATATGAGACTCGGGGAGTTTGTTGTTGCAGCAGATTGAAATAAATTCACATGTGTTTCTTGTGTCTTGGTGAGTATCATCTTTATTTATTTATTTCTTGAAGTGTTTCCCTTTTAATTAGTCTTTTGATATTTATTTCTACCAATTGGAGAGGAAAAAGACAGTTCACAAATCAATGCAGTGTTCACATAAATAATTTTAAGTATAAAAAGGAACTAATTGTAATGATAGATATCTAACCAAATCTAGTAAACCATTTTAAAACAATATAAACTTTAAGCATAAAAATTATTAGTTTATTTATATCCTACTTAAGAAATTATTTAAAAAAAGTTTATTGAATTATGTTTTGTTAAGGTAAGATTTATTGTTATTGTTGATGACAATGAAAGAATAGTTTCAGGGTTTTAGGTGAATGACACAAAACAGTCTTAAAATGAATGGTTACTTCATCCTTCTATGCAATGTTAATTTAATTACATTAGGCGTTTAAAAAATCATCATACGGATTGAACCACATGGTTAAATCAAATTAAATCAGATAACTCAGTTATATAAAAAAAATCACTATAACAGTTATATAGTTGATGAAAAACCGGTCGAACCAGATAATTCGATTTTTAAAGAAATCACACTACAAAATTCCAAATTATAAAAATATCATAGTTCATTCTTTAAATTCAAATTATAAACATTGACACAACAAAACACAAATTCAAATAAATTTTAAATAAAGTTTTATGACAAAATAAAATAAATAGTAAAATAACTAATTGGGTCTAATAAATTTAATTCAAAAGAATAAAAGTTATTCCATATAAGTTTTAAACAAAATCTATTTATACTTCAATTTTAATTTTTTTTTTAATTTTAATTTTTTTTTTAAATTATCAAAAACAATCAGTCCAAACCGCTGAAGAGTCAGTTTCACAACAAAACAAAATAATTCAAATAAATTTTAAATAAAGTTTTATGACAATAAAATAAATAGTAAAATAACTAATTGGGTCTAATAAATTTAATTCAAAAGAATAAACGTTATTCCATATAAGTTTTAAACAAAATCTATTTATACTTCAATTTTATTTTTTTTAATTTTAATTTTTAAAAAAATTATCAAAAATAATCAGTCCAAACCGATGATTAGTCGTTTTCACAACAAAACAAAATAATTCAAATAAATTTTAAATAAAGTTTTATGACAAAATAAAATAAATAGTAAAATAACTAATTGGGTCTAACAAATTAAATTCAAAAGAATAAAAGTTATTCCATATAAGTCTTAAACAAAATCTATTTATACTTCAATTTTAATTTTTTTAATTTTACTTTTTTTTTAAATTATCAAAAACAATCAGACCAAACAGATGAAGAGTAAGTTACATCGATCAACCGGTTCGGTATTTAAATTTGTCGCATTAGACATCTTCATAAAAAAAATTCAAAATGACAAGAAAATTGTAATTTTGCTTGACCATTATGTTAAATATTGGTCAAGCATAACCTAAGAATAACCTAATAGCAGTGGACTGGTGAGCAATGAAATATTGACAGCTAAAGAAAAGTTATGAGAAAAGCCATCTCCAAAGCCATGCAAATTTGAAGAAAAACACCAAATATTGCAAGATATTGGCAACAGACAAAGACTATCAAACAGTGGATTTGAAAAGCTTGTTAAAAAATGGAGTTCTGCATTCAAGATTTTGAGAAAGGACTAGAGTTTCAGTTTAGGTGTCTCCTTATAATGTAAATTTCTGGGGATCTAACGAATTAAAAGTTTTTCCCCACAAAGGATGGTGAATCAAATAGATGCTAGCTCGATAAACAGAAACAAAGATTTAAGTCAAGTCTGTAACCAATTATAAAAAGAGACAAACCATCAATTCAACTTAGCAACAAGTAAAACTTGAATGAGGTACATGTCCAAGGCTATAGAAAAATACTTAATGAGTTAAGTCAAAATACCAATACAACATAACTATGAGCGAAATAAATTTAGGTGTTTGTAGCTCTGGTGTAAATCTGTTGGCTCGAGTGGGATGATACCAACCTGATCAAACCTTTAGCCATCAAATCTCTTATTGCTCTCCTTGCAAGTGATCCATTAATCTGCAAGGTGCATCCAATTAAACAAATCATGAGAATTATGTTCTTCATATAAAAACAAATAACCACAAATACAGAAACAGAAAATATTGGTAACATTCTCATTATATACAGCTCAAGATACTACTACAAGTATATCTGCATGCAAGCACAACATGACAATCAATGTATAATATTAGTTCAGCTGGCATTGCTTAGAGTTAAGACATAAGATCAACAAACCTAGCCAACACAAAACAAAAACGGCTGCATTGCAAGAGGAAATAATAATTTATTTTTCAGCAAAATGCAATCAATTCTAAGGAAAATAGCAAACAGTAGATTCACAATGCAAAGTTAAAATATGCCATCTAGATTCACAATCCACAATTTAAGCAAAACGTAGACCTAATTTCTTGATACCTAAAGGTTTGGAAGCATTCTTTTTTTTTCTCAAATTTGAGCAAAAAGGTAAACCTAGTTTCTTGAAACCATTTATCAAAGCAACATGACAACAGTATAATTAACATCAAACAAAAAGTTCACAAATACTAACTAGTTACATATTTCTAAATCTATAATCCATAATGCTAACAATTCAATAATGTTATAAATTCCATGATGTAAACAATGACACCACACATATATGCCTCACTAAATTGATTAAAATGCATCACGAACCTACAGTATTATTTCAGGACAACTAAGGAATCCTCCAACAAAAAGAGTGGAAAGTCATGACGATAAATCGTGGGCAGGGCATATACATGTCCACATAAGAGACAAAGGGATTATACATTTAACAACCTATAATAGGATATTATCCCCATTTGCACATAGCAGATAGTTACACACGGCAACCGGATTAACATCTCATACTAGATCCAAGATTGTTTGATATGGTTGAAGTCTAGACAACATAATACACATCATAATTTATATATATCACAAACCTCAACGGCTCAAGAAATAAAGGCCTTATATAAGATTACAATAACCAATTAAACAACCTTTGTAAGTAACTCTTAGTCACATCAGAAATCTAACCATGGCAATTTCAATTTCAATTTAAACTATTGCAGAACATATAAAACGAATCAAAATATGACCAAAACAAAGCAATATAATCAATAAAAACTAATCATAAATATTCTGGACAACAACAAATCATCAATTAATAAAGAGAAAAAGGGTCAAACAAAAGGTACCCTCAAACGATCAGAGAGAACAGAAGGAGTAATGAGCTTGTATTTGGGAGCCTCAGTGAGAAGCTTATCATAAGTTCCCTGATCAAACAACACCATGTTATTCACCTTCTCCTTCTGCTTACCCTTGCTCCACTTCTGTTAAAATCATAAAATTCAACATTAACATCACACTTACACACAACAAAACCATTCAATTTTCATAATAACAATTAATCAGTATAAAAATTAAAACTTTAAGAAGAAAACACTAACCTTCTTCTTCTGCTTGCCACCACCAGACTTGGCGGGCTTGGAGGACGGTGGAGGAGCCTTTTCCTTCTTTGGAGCCTGAAATTACCATCAAAACATACACAGAACGAAAATTAGAAGCAATACTAGAAGAAAAACAGAGATAATTGAAGGTTGAAGAGAAAGTACCATGGTGAAATCGCAGATCAGTGACAGCCGCAGAGAGAGGGATTACGAAATGTCACAAACCTGAATCAGCTAGGGTTTTACAACTTTGTTTTGTTATATGAAAAGGCAAAAAAGAATTGGGCTCAAAGTATGGCCCAATAATATTCAATTCGGGCCGCAATCCACTCAAATATGGTTCAGGAAGTTTTATCCCATACCCCTACACATATACCTATACCCCTACATTAAAAAATTTTGGACCAAAATATCCTCGTATAAACATTTATTATTTTTTAATTTTTTTTATATTTTTTTATTTGTTTACCGGAAGACTTTTTGGAAAGCTACCTAAAATTTTTATTTTTAGTATGTTTACCGGAAGACTTTTTGGAAGTCTTCCGATTCATGTTTTTTTTTTTAATTTGTAATTAATATTTAAGATTTATTAATTTTATATAAAGACCAATTTAGTAAATTTTTGAATATTATACTTAAAATATAAAAATTCTATAAATAGAGAATCATTTTCAGAATATTTTCTATTTACTATAATTATTAGAATACTAAGATTAAAATCATTTATTTTAAATGATCATAATAGTAGAATTTTCTCAAATATCTTATTAATCTTAAACATTAATAAATAAAATAAATTTAAATATAAGATATAAGTTTACATTATTCAATATATTTAATCAAATGAAAACATATGTGATAAATAAATAATGTATTTTAACTTAAAATGATCACAATAAGTTAACTTGCAAAATAATATAAGTAATAAATTAATAATGTATTTTATTTAAAATAATCACAATAATAAAGTACGCAAATAATGTGTTTTATTTATAGGACTGATATCGTTTTATTGATTATTTAATTTTGAATACTACTATGAATATAATATTTAATCTATACTTTAGAACTCACATAATTATAAATATAAAAAATATTGTTTTATTACCCATATTTTTATTTAATTAAAAAAAATAAGAATATAAATTTATTATTTGTTTTTCATTTTTGTTTGATCTTTTTAATTATTTCACTTTATTTAATATTTTTAATAAAATAAATAATATATTTTATTTAAAGTAAGCACAATATAGAATATGCAAAAAATTTATAAATAAAAAAAAGATCAAACGAAAATGAAAAACAAATAATAAATTTATATTCTTATTTTTTTTAATTAAATAAAAATATGGGTAATAAAACAATATTTTTTATATTTATAATTATGTGAGTTCTAAAGTATAGATTAAATACTATATTCATAGTAGTATTTAAAATTAAATAATCAATAAAACTATATCAGTCCTATAAATAAAACACATTATTTGCGTATTCTATTATTGTGATTATTTTAAATAAAATACATTATTAATTTATTACTTATATTATTTTGCAAGTTAACTTATTGTGATCATTTTAAGTTAAAATACATTATTTATTTATCACATATGTTTTCATTTGATTAAATATATTTAATAATGTAAACTTATATCCTATATTTAAATTTATTTTATTTATTAATGTTTAAGATTAATAAGATATTTGAGAAAATTTTACTATTATGATCATTTAAAATAAATGATTTTAATCTCATTGTATTCTAACAATTATAGCAAATAGAAAATATTCTGAAAATAATTCTCTATTTATAGAATTTTTATATTTTAAGTATAATATTCAAAAATTCACTAAATTGGTCTTTATATAAAGTTAATAAATCTTAAATATTAATTACAAATTAAAAAAAATATGAACCGGAAGACTTCCAAGAAGTCTTCCGGTAAACAAACGAAAAAATATGAACCGGAAGACTTCCAAAAAGTCTTCCGGTAAACATACGAAAAAAAATGTGAACCGGAAGACTTCTAAAAAGTCTTCCGGTAAACAAATAAAAAAATATAAAAAAAATTAAAAAATAATAAATTTTTATACGAGGATATTTTGGTCCAAACATTTTTAATGTAGGGGTATAGATACAAGTGTAGGGGTACGAGGTAAAACTTCCTATGGTTCAATATGTTAAAAATCTCCCTTAAATGCATTTCGCATCCCTGTATTTAGATATTTATTATAGTTTTTACTTTTTATCCCCAATTTCAAAAATTATTAACTTTTTGATGCTCAATTTTGTGAATCTTTTTTTAGAATATCCATGTATTGATTCAAAATTACCATAAAGTGAAATTTTCAAAAAAAAAATTAAAATGGCCAAGATTTAACCTTCTGTCGCCGGATGAAATGGCGACATTATTGAAATGGATTTTGGGCTTGCATGGAATCGCCAAACAGATTTGCGACAGCTTTGAAATGGAGGAAGAGTCGCCAATGAGAATGGTGAAACAGGCCAAATGCTAGGGTTTGCGTGTTTTCTATTTTTAAAATTAATTATTATTATTAATATATAATTATAACATAATTATTATTAATATTTAAACTAAAGTTTTTAATTAATAAACATAACTATTATTAATATCTTAAATTTTTTTCATATAATGTTAAAATTAAGTTTTTAATTAATAAACTTAAAATAATTAGGTTTAAATAAAAATAATCTTAAATTAATTTAATAAATTTAGGTTTAATTAAAAATAAACTTAAATTGATTTTATAAATTTAGGTTTAATAAATATTGTTTTTATACATTTAGGTTTAATATAAATATAATCGTGATTTTAATTTGTTGTTTTTAAGTAATAGTTATAAAATAAGTAATAATTATTGTTTTTAAATTATAAATATTTTAAGTTTTTAATTATAAATTAATTTAAATACAAAATAAAAATTGATTAACAATTTAATTTTAAAGCATATAAATTGATTTAAATTATAAATTTTAAAACATAAAAATTGATTAACCATTGAATTTTAAAGTGTATAAATTTTGTAAGGGTATTTAAGACATATCATATGGGGCACGTACTATTTTATTTTTCTATAAATACGACTGCAAGCACATATATGTTTTTACAACATTGTATACCAAAAGACTGAAGTGTTAGTGCATTTTGAGTGGAGTGGAGTCTAGAATGTCTGCATTTTTAAATCAACGGTCTTCGTCGTCGTCGTCATCAGCATCGGAGGAACCCTCTCCAACATTCGATCTAATGAAAAGAAATGTTGTAGTTAACGTTTCAGCAACAAAGCCTCCGATGAAGGTGCTCTTGTGGAATACGCAGACATTGGAGCACTTGCATAGGGAACTGAACCGCTGGCTAGAAGGAGATATTGGTCCAGGAGAAAAGATTAGGAAAATTGAGAGGTTGGTCGAGGAGACTGGGAGAAACGGAGTTACTCGTGAATGGAGAAAAGTGGAAAATGATGTCGGTGTCCTTGTGATGATGTTAACACCAAAGAAGATAACGTTGATGGTCATGATATCGTAGACGCCTTGGTGCAGTGTTCTGTTTTATGTCTTTATGTTGTTGTTATGTTTGTTTAATTTATGTTGTCTTGGTGCAGTGTTCTTTCTTTATGTTGTTGTTATGTCAGTTAAGTATGCTTTTAATCGAATGAAATTTGCTATTGATTTAAAGGGACACAGTTACATACGAAACTATGATTTGCTGCTTAATCCTACTTTAGGATATTTTGTACGATTGTGTCCTGGTTGCCGACACGAACTACATAATCTTACCAGCTTGTCTGCAGTATCCGTCTCCGCTCGAATGTGCGTGCTGTTAGGTCGACCCTTTTTCTTTCTGCGCATCAAGTCATTATGCCAAACAATTTCGCCTTCGTATTAAGGTCAATAGTCCTCCTTTGCCACCACCTGAAAGCTACATGTGTAGACATTGCATAGACTTATCACTTGGT